AAGACACCGGTGATGTCACCCCTCCAAACCCCTCTACTTCGGGATAGTTCGAGTCGCTCATTAGTAAACAGACGCTGTCATCATTGGATGAGGAGTAACTTATACATTTAACCAGTAGGATTACCCAGCTGCCGCCGGCTGCTCCTCCTTCTTTGTCACGGCCCGGCTTCGCCAGGCACTCTTTCCTTAGGCGAGGTAGAGTGTGCAAAATACGCCTAACCGTCACAGTGCATTTTCCAGCAAAATGTAGAAAAATAATTGAAAATAGCTCGAGCAATGGGTTAAAGTTGAATCAGGCCGGAGGATCAGCAACATACAGCGCTTTGTTACTTTTGAAAGAGGCACAGCTGTGGAGCAATGAACGCCACTGAAAAGAAGTAGTTCACTTTGCTTTTTTTATGTAAAAGTCTGCGCCGCACGGGGAGCCTTCATGTTACCGCCGACGAGAAATTCATCCTCCAAAACGCTGGTTTGGAATATTTTTTATTGGTATGAATTTGGAAATTTCTCGATTCTTCCGTTTCAGACGTGCAAAGTACCCCCTCCCCAAGCCCAAGCTCGACATCGTTGGATCTATCTAAAAGCACACCGATACTTTTTTACCTGATGGTTTCGATTCTGCTGACAATCAAAAGAAAGAATTCACACACTGAGCCTCTAATACTTGGCAATGAATTGGTAAAAAGTGGTAAGAAATGTAGTGAAAATTGGATTTTCATCAAATTTAATCGATTGATATGATTACGTGTCTCACGCCATCAGTGTCCCTTTCACGAAAACCTTTGAAAATTTGTTACTTTGAAAGGTCTAACACCTTGAACAACGATGACCAGGCAACGCTTTCTAATAGCCTCTATCTGTTATGGCTTTTTGTCACCCACCGTTCCTGACCCCATTTCACCCCCTATATCACCTGCTGGAACCAACGCTGACTCTGCGACCCACGGTATGGAAACAGTGGCCTTATCTTTCTGACGCCCCTTATCCAATCTTATCAGATGCTGGCAGTTTTTGTCACCAACCTAGTGTTCCTTTCCTAAACCCTACATCGTATCTTGGAACCATCAAACGGTGACCTCATTCTGAGGCCTCTTATCAGATCTTATCAACTGATATCACTTCCTATCACCCACCAATAGTGTTCCCGTCACACCCCTACATCACTTCTTGGAACCAATGTCTCACTGCTACTGGGACCGGC